TGTGCTGCCCTTGCCTGCAGGCACTGCCCCCCCGCAGCTCCCATTGGCCGGGAACAGGAACCACAGCCAATGGGAGCTTTGGGGGAGGTACCCACAGGTGAGGGCAGTGCGCGGTGTAGCCGACTGCCCCACCCCACCTCCAGGAGCCACTGCCGGACATGCTGGCCACTTCTGGGACCAGCGCAGGGACAGGGCAGGTAGGGAGCCTGCCTTGGCCCCGCTGCACACCACTGCCACCCCAGAGCTGCTTGAAGTAGGTGGCACCGGGCCAGAGCCCACACCCCGAAAAACCCCTCCCACCCAGATGTGGCCCTTGGGCCAAATAGTTTGCTGACCCCTGCATGAGGGGCTGGACGGAGCAGAGTTGTGGTCTGGGGGTCAGTGATCCCCTGAAAATCCATCTTTCCCCGAGCACGTGCTGGGCGAAACCTAGCTAAGAGCCCGGCAGCCCCCAGCCTGACTGCCCAGCGCAGCCAGGACCAAGCCAAATCAGCGAGAGCCGGTAGCACACGGGAGCCAATGCCAGTCTCATGGCCCCTGCTTCTCACAGCCCCTTGTTTCCTCGGCTTCTCTTCTCCCCGTTGAGCGCCTGGGAAATGGAGTGTTCAGGGAGGTGAAGGGTTAATATCCAGGGCTGGTGTGTGGGCAGGATCTGGTCCAGGGTCCCCACCCTCACCCCCGCTTTGCCAGAATGATCCACATTCCTGAGCTGCAGCACTCTTTATTAGTCGAGTCCCCGAAACCCACCCTACCCAACATTCCCACCACCCCTAAACTCCTGCCTGTGCCCCTCAATCCTGCCCTGGAGCTCCCTGCTAGCCCTGCCCTGGGCTTCCCCCACCACCACCACAGCTTTGCCAATTCTCCTCAGTCCTGATCTACAGCCCCCTGCTAGCCCAGCCCTGGGCTCCCCCCTCCCCCCCCCCACAGCTTTGCCAATGCCCCTCAGTCCTGATCTGCAGCCCCCTGCTAGCCCAGCCCTGGGCTTCCCCCACCACCACCACAGCTTTGCCAATGCCCCTCAGTCCTGATCTACAGCCCCTGCTAGCCCAGCCCTGGGCTCCCCCCCCACAGCTTTGCCGGTGCCCTTCAGTCCTGCCCTGCAGCCCCCTGCTCGCCCAGCCCTGGGCTCCTCCGTCTCTCCCACACATGCTTTTGCTAGTGCATTTGTGTCCTGATTTATAAAAATCCTCCAATCATCTGCTTCCCTAGAACAAGTCTATGAGGTGCCGGTTTATTTCAGCCCTTTTTCGCAACATCCCCCATGGCCCTAATGTTATTCATGGGCTCCAGAAAGACAATCCCATCTCGGAGAATGATTAAATCCCTGTGGCACACCGGCCTGGATTCGCTCACTATTCATTGTGTCGGGCCCGAATAATTTCCTGTCGGCCGCAGTTAGGTTATCAGAGATGCGCGTCTCCCATTAGCAGTTCTGATGGCTTATTTATACTGAGTGGCATCACAGGGGAGGGAGGGAGAGCAGAGCAGAGCCCACATGTGGGGTTCGAAACAGAACTGGAGAAGTTCATGGAGGATAGAGCCACCAATGGCTATTAGCCAGGATGGGCAGGGACACAGCGCCATATTCTGCATCTCCCCAGCCTCTGACTGTCAGAAGCTGGGACTGGACGACAGAGGATGCATCACACGAGTGTTGCCCTGTTCTGGTCATTCCCTCTGAAGCACCTGGCATTGGCCACTGTCGGAAGACAGGACACTGGGCTAGATGGACCATTGCTCTGAGCCAGTCTGGCCGTTCTTATGTGGAACATCTGTGTCTTCTGCTGAGGTGGTGACAGCCCCTCCCCACAGTACGTTCTTAGTAGGAAGGACTGTTCTATATTCTTGGCTCTGACGTTGTCCAGTGGCGGCCCCTAGACATAGCCACAGGGTTGGTTGGTATGTGAGAACATCTGAGGTGATTCCCCCCACCGGGCATCCTGCTATGTCAGGCCATATGCTGCGGGACCAGAGCTGGCCGGGGAAGACCACGTTGAGAACAGACCCAGCAGGGCTGGCTTTGTGTAGCCCACAGGGAAGGAGCCCTCTGGGGTCCTCCGGGGCCTTGCAAACTCCAGCGTTCCCCAGCACTTTCTGATTGTTGGTAGGTGAGGACCCGAGTCCTGATCCTGCCACCCTGAGCACCCAGGACTGCTCAGGGACTTCCAGGCAGGTTCAGGACTCTAGCACGGAATCGCCGGCTGATTTTAAAGCAGGGCTCATGATCAGACATCGGACGCAGGCGCAACCACCCAGGGCAGCTGACTCTGCTCCCCTCACCCTCTGAATCGACACCTGCCTGTGCTACTGACAAGCAGCCTTCAGTCCCAGCTGCACAGGGTGAGAGCTGGATCCCAGTGGCCCGTGTCTGGTGGGGGCCGCTCACTAGCTAGGTGGTGACTCCAGCATCTCTGGCTGGGGGTGATGACGGTGAAGCAGGGTGCTCTGTCACTGGGCTGGGCTTGCAGCATTGAAAAACACCCACTCCTTTGCTTTGTCACCTGCGTTCGACCGATCTGGTCATCGCTGTGGACGAAGAACTGTCGAGGTTCAGCCCGTCATTGACAGGGGCCCTTTGCGTCTGTGTAGCAATGCAGGCAAGGACAAAAGCAGCAGGCTCAGGGCAAAACATGGGGGTTTGTCAAAGTTGCTTCTTTGCCAGAAGAAGAGTTGCTTCTAAAGCCGCTCGTGGGGCTTTCGTTCCCCCCAAGGCACCTGGGAGCCTGTAACTTGATTTTTAAGCACACTAAGTGCGTAGCTCGTGTGCATCAGATAATTGCACGTGCAAATGCTCATAGCCTCTTGTGCATGGAGTCACTGGATCTGTCTGTGCAATTGTGTCAGCAAAGCAGCATGCAAATGTGCAACTCACTTTCTTGGGCAATTGCACGTTTAAAAATCAACCCCTGAATATGCAGCTCCGGGCACTGGAAAATGGACCCTAGCAGGCATGGAAAATCCATTAACTGCCTCCTGGAGGTGGGGAAGGCAAAAGCCATGGAGGCGTCTCTGAAGGGTGCTAGCACCCAGGAGGGAGAACCAATTAGGGCAGGGGTCGGCAACCTTTCAGAAATGGTGTGCCAAGTCTTCATTTATTCATTCTAATTTAAGGTTTCGCGTGCCAGTGATACATCTTAACGTTTTTAGAAGGTCTCTTTCTATAAGTCTATAATATGTAACTAAACTATTGTTGTATGTAAAGTAAATAAAGATTTTACAATGTTTAAGAAGCTTCACCCTGTCAAGCTTCGGCCTGTCAGACACACACACACACACACACACACACACACACACACACACACACACACACACACACACACACACACACACACACACACACACACACACACACACACACCGGCCTGTCAGACACACACACACTCACCTCCCTCCTAAGTTTAAATGCAGAAGAGAAGCATTTGTTCAGTTGGGCCCTTTGGCTGGGCTGCACTGGGCCGTCCGGGAACTGGCCAGGCTGTCCCTGGAGGCGGTGGTATTTGACCCAGGATTTACTGGGAAGCTGTCCCAAGTCAGATTTACAGCCCCCTCCATGCCACAGCAGCAGCACCAGGCCCAGAGGTAAGTTTCTGGCCAGTCTGCTGGCTCTGAGCAGAGTGCAGTTCAGTGGGTGGTGGCCAGAGGGGGTGGAGTGTGGATGTGGGTGTGGGTGTGTGTCAGGGCACCAGTGTAAATCAAGTCATGTCATTAACTTCACCAAGGGCTTGACCCTGCGTGCCTATGCCAAGGGAGGCTGGGGTGATGGGCAGAGTCTAAACCAAGGGTCCTGTGGTCACTAAACCATGGTCCTGTGTCCTGTGGTCACTAGGGCAGAGGTCCACAAAACTGTGGGGCGAGCCCCCCCAGGGGGCAAGGAGGGGCCCAGGCCAGTCCCCATGGGTGAGGAGGGAGGGAGTGCCACTCAGCTCTGCTCCTGGCCCCAGCCCCAGCTGCTGGTCCGGCTGCCAGGCCATGTCGCTCCCGGCCTTACCCCCAGCTCTGGCCCCAGTCTCGACCTCCTTACCTCTGTCTGCATCTCTCCTCCCCGGCCCAGTTCTGGGGGTGGGGCGCAGACAGAGGTAAGGGGGAGCATGAGGTAAAAAGTTTGAGGGCTACTGCACTAGGACCCAGCTGTTCCCCAGAGCAGGGGATGCCACGTTTCCACTCCTGCCTCCTTTATCCCAGCACTTGCCATCTTCCCCTTTGGTCCCCCGACAGTCTGACACTCGGTCACCTGCCTGTAATGTCCCCCTGGCTTAATACCCACACCTGTCTGCCTCCAGGTCCCTGGGCATGGGGGTGGGGAAGGCTGAGCCGTGGTGGCATTAGGAGGATGCTGTCAGACACAGGACAGTTGCTGGGAGTTTGCCCCATTACCTGCCCCCACCCCATGTCCAGCCCCTCAGAGCCCATCACTGTCACCAATGTAAAGCGAGATGTGCCCCCTCCTTCATCCCCAGGGCTCAGCATGCGGTGTGGGGCATGCACTTTGCCTGGGGAGTTGGAAATTCCCCCCGTGCAGGGCCCAGCATAAGGCCAATGCCTGTCGCTTAAGGAGGGCAGAGTCCGGCACCAGACTGGGAGGCCTTGTGCTGGGCTCCTCCAGAGGGCTGCTCTTCCCCCTGAGAGTCCGGTTCCCCTCCTGTGGCTGCTGTGCCCAACTAGACCCTCCGGGGTGGCTGGGCATGTCCGTCAGCATGGAGGGCGCCTCCCAGCCATCTCAGCCTGGCAGTACTGAGCAGTGTCTTCCTTCTTTAAATAAAGATGCTCAGGTCACCTTTCCAGGGGGCCACCACCCCACAGTTTGCTAGAGCATCCATTTTGCATGCACACCGTGTGGTTTTCCCCAGGCAGCATTTACCAGGCGTGGGTCAGGAGGCCCTGCTGTGAACCTGGCTACGCTCGCTGGGCACAGAGCCACTGGGGAGATCTCCATACCTGCTTCCGGGAGGACAGAGCCCCTCTGGTCCTGGAGCGGCTGCTGGGCTTGCTCTCCCGTGTGTCCACTCCGTTCTTCTCCTTCCCGCTCCTCTCTCTCCAGGGCTCAGCAGTGGCCTCAGCTTGGTCGGGGATGGGGCTGGCGAAGAGGATTCTCCCGATCAGCCCGTACAGCATGGTGGCCACAAACAAGGGGGTGACAAAGAAGAGGGCAAAGTCGAGCAGGTAGATGGGCAGGTAGAGGTTGCGGGAGACTTTGTAGCCACACTCCAGGTGCTGGCTCTTGTTGACATTGATGTCCACCAGGAAGAACCAGAGCATGCAGTAGATGGAGGTGCAGATCCAAACGAAGGCAATGATGCGCTTGGCCCGGGATACCGTGCACATGGTGTGGGCGCGCATTGGGTGGCAAATGGCGATGTACCTGGGGACAGGAAGGATAGAGCCATGACACTGGCCAGGAGGAAAGGGCTAGGCAGGCAAGGTGGGACAGAGACGACTCGTGGCAGGCAGGAAGGGGACACAGAGGCCTTCTACAGCAGACTCAGCTGGTGCCATCTGCATGTTCACACTGGTCCTCAGAGACTTGAACACTACAAGCTAGAGCGGCAGCATGGGCTAGCAGACAGGGCACTGGACTGGGAGTCAGGAGATTCCTGGCTCTGCCGGCGGACCTCAGGCAAGTCATTTACTTGGAGGGCTCCTTTGCCTGTCTTGTTTATTTTGCATCACCGGTGCTGGAAGTGGGGGGACCAAGGGGCTATGCCCTTCCCACACACACACACACACTTTTGACAAAAGAAACATAACTGCAGAATTTTTCCCCCCTGCAGAATTTCTCCCCCCTCCCTCCCGAAGAATAGATTCTGCCTGGGAGGTGCTGCAATTACACTTTTCACCCACCGGGGGCTGCTGTGGGCACCAGAAGAGAGGGCAGCTGGCGGAGCAGACAGCCACAGAAAGGGAGGGGGCCCTTTGGCCTTGGCCCCCCCCTTCTACGATGGTTCCAGTCCCTTGTTTTGAATATAAGCTCTTTGGGGGAGGGACCTGTCTCTTACTATGTACTTTTCTTAGAGCACCCAGCACCATGCCCCCCCACCCCCGATCTAGGGCCGAGCCTCTAGGCACTACTGCTATACAAATACCAGAGACGTCCCTTTTAGCTGCTGGAGCCATTTAAAGGTGTGCTAAATGAAGTGGGGGGTAGCTCCCTTTTATGGACACCCAACCAGCCAGTTAGCTATAAAGTCCTTCTTGGTGGTTGTTCTCTGCTTGCTTTACCCTGTAAAGGGTTAACAAAGTTCCCCAGGTAAAGGAAAGGGAGTGAGCACCTGACCAAAAGAGCCAATGGGAAGTCTAGAACTTTTTAAAAATGGGGGGAAAAGCTGTCCCTTTGTGTGTCAGTTGTTCTCTCTGGGCTGAAGAGACAGGGGCAGTAGGAATGCTGTGTAAAGTTTGAACCAGGTATGAAAAATTATCTTCCATGCCTAGAAGGATTCATTGGGACAGGGAATGTTTAGATAGATGTGATCAGGTTTATTTCTTTATTTTAGCTTGTGGATTCCTCTGTGCTAAACTCAGGTATTTTTGTTTTTCTTCTGTAACCTTAAGCTGGACCCCAAGGAGCCATTTCTGGTGTTTAACTCCTTTTCAGTTGCTTTATAAAATCTACGGTAGCAATAGCCTGATTTTCCAGATGTGTTTCCTTTCTTTCTTTTTAATAAAATTAACCTTTTTTAAAAACCGGATTGGTTTTGTGTCTTAAAAGGTTTGTGCATGTTTTTCAATCAGCTGGTGGTAACAGCTGGGCTTCCCTCTTGTTTGTTTTCTTTCTCAGCTTCCCTGAGGGAGGGGTGGAAAAGCCGAGGGGGCTCAGGGAAAACTTCCCAATTGAGTTTTTCCAGGATTTGCAAGAGGCAGGTTTTTCCCTTGGGTGGTGGCAGCGTTTACCAAATCAAAGTCAGAGAAAAGTTGTTACCTTGGGAGTTTAATACAAGCCTGGAGTGGCCAGTATTAATTTTTAGAATCCTTGACAAAAGGTTTACAGCTGGACTTTTCCGCCCCCCTCGGCCCATTGGAAAGAGCTCCCTGAAATGCCCCGCTGCACCATTTGAATCACGTTCAGCTACAAAATAACGAAGGCAATGGGCAGAGCACAGGGCTGCTGGGGGAAGGTTTCCTTGGCACTTATTAAAAAGCGATCTATACGCTGAACTTTCCTAACCAGGACCTGGCAGCTGTGTGAGGAGAGCAAGGCTGATTTGGAGTGGGGCTAACTCCAGCCCTGGGGTGGGGGAGGTCTGGCCTTTTGTGTGCTAACTCCTGCTTGTGCATGCTCTCTCTCACGCCAGCCTGCCCGTTCTGGCACTGTGCTCCGGGCAGTCGGATTTGCGTGCACGAAACCCATGCGTCCCAATGGGCAAAGAAAGAGCCTAGCCATTGGGACGGGGGCACCGTTCAGTGTCTAGTGACTGATTCCCCTTTGACCCGGGCTGGGAATGACTAGAGTTGCTACCACTCACTCGTGGGTGAGCAGCCTTTGAGAGGCCGGGGTGAACTGGGTCTAGTTAACATTAGTGCTAACTGTCTCCCTTCCAGGGTGTCTCACCAGAGAGGCCAAGAACTGAATAGGCACCAGAGACAGAACTACTGTCACATCCCTAGAGAGGGTCTGTCTGCATGAGGGCGAGGGGCAGGGAGTGGCTTAGGGGAAGCATGCCCTGCCTTGCGGGCAGAGGGCTCTGGCCCCCAGGGCTGCCAATCCAGCACCAAGAGCAAAGGGGCAGGCCGCGTCCTCTCCCACCTCTCCACGGTGAAGGCCGTGATGGAGCAGGAGGAGACGTTGATGCCCAGATACTGGAAGTAGGTTATCCCAAGGCAGCCAGCATGCCCATAGATCCACATCCCCGCCAGGCTGTCCGAGATGTTGGGCAAGCCAGCAGCCACCAGGACCATCAGATCGGCCACTGCCAGGCTAACCAGGTAGCAGTTGGTGGGCGTCTTCATCTCCCGGGTGGTGAGGACCACCAGCACCACCATGATGTTGCCCACAATCCCCACCCCGCAGATCACCAGCACCAGGAAGACCGAGATGGCTTTGTATTCGATCACGTCGAAGACAGCGTCGCTGCTGGCCAGGGAGATGTTTGTGGGGCTGTCGAACTTGCTGCTGTTCTCCATGGCTGCGGGCAGGTAGGAGGCCGGAGCAAGCGCCGCTGCCTTCCCAGGTGCTTCCAGATGGTGCAGCTCTATAGAGAACTGGAAGGGGCAGGTCGGTGTCCCCAGACACCAAGACACGGTCTTTGGCCTTCGGCCCCAGCCGGACGCTTGGAGGCTTCGTCAGACCAAACCGGCTCAGCTTCGTTTGCTGCAGGAAAAGCACAAAGGAGAGAAGTGAAGGATTATGCGCCTCATGCCCTGCAAACCACTTCTCCAATTCCCCCACTCCTCCAAGGGCTTAGCCCGGCAAACCTCAAAGGGTGATTGATTTCTCATTAGCTCTGCAGGCATTGACCCAGCCTCTGAGGAGGGCAACGCACTGTCTGTTGCCTGTCGTTCTTTATCCAGCATAACCCTGTCCCATGAAGCATGATGAGATCTGAAGCAGCAGGACTGGAAGGCTGTGGGCAACCCAGCGAAAACTGGGGGGGGATGAGGGCTCTAGATCTGTATCCGGTGTTTGTGTCATAGTAGGAAGGGGGCTGAAGGGGCGGGGGAGAGGAGGGCGGAGACATTTGCACATTTAGTTTGGTATGATTTTTATATCCAATGCTTGTTGGAGGGTTACCCTGTTCCTTGGGGCTTGTGGGTAGGTGGTAGGAACATGGGTGGTAAGGCATCTGGTCCATTGCAAAGTACTCCTGAACGGCTCTGTCACGGAGTCCCCGGGCGATGCTCTGGAACTGCTCCCCACAAAGCCAGTCAGGACTTTGGGGAGCCTCCTCTCCCTCGGAGCAGACCGCCTTCAGGGCAAGAAGCTCACACGGCTTCACCTCCTGGGTCTCTCCTGGGAGCATTCAGCATATGCCCCTCCATGCGCTTCCCACAGCGAGTCCGCCCCGGCGGGGTCCTGGGGAAGCCAAAGGGTTCTGCACCCAAACTTCGCAGTCAGACGTGACTCTCAGCCAGCCAGTAAAACAGAGGTTTATTAGATAACAGGAACGTGGTCTAAAACAGAGCTTGTAGGTCCAGCGAACGGGACCCCTCTGCCAGGTCCATTCTGGGGTCCAGCGAGGCAGACCCCCGTCTGCCCTCCCTTCCAGTACCCAGCTAGCTCCAAACTCCAACCCCCGTCCAGCCCCTCCTTCTCTGGGCTTTTTCTTTTTCCCAGGCCGGGAGGTCACCTGATCCCTTTGTTTCCAACACCTTCAGTTGGCACCTTTGCAGAGGAGGGGCCCAGGCCATCAGTTGCTAGGAGACAGAGGGTCGGGCATTTATGTACCCTGGCCCTTTGCTCTGCAGCAACCATACACCCTTATCCCACCACCTAGATACTTAAGAAGTGCATAGGGGAAACAGGAAAACATTAAGAACAGTCCCACTTCGTCACAAGCTCAACTCCTGCTTTTCCTTCAAATCTCTTAAATCACACCCTTCTTCCACTTCAGCTGCGGCTTTTAATTTGATTCCATCATAGGGGGATGATAAGGCCTTTTTTATCAGTCAGACAAAATCAAGAGTTTGCTCCTTGAAGTTTTGCACCAGCGTGGCTGCAGAGTATAACCGAGAGCTTTGCTGGCCCCGTGTTGTTCCTTTTCGGTTTCATGTTTAGTCCCTGCTATTCTCGTGTGTGTCTTGGGTTATGTTGCAGTGTCTTTTCATCTCAGGGCGGCCTGGTACACTACCGGGTTAGGGCGACGTAAGCTGCCTTGCGTCGACCTACCTGCAGAAGTGTCTTCACTGAAATTGGGCTCCCGCTGCTGTACGTGCCTCTCTATGCCGATTTAGCAACCCCAGCTCCCCAAGCAGCATAGAGACATGGTCAATGTAGTTAGCTCGCCAGTGTCAGTGTAGATGCTGCATTGCTTATGTCGACTGCTACTAGCTTTCAGGCGCCTTCCCACATGGACAGTACAATGGACACAAGCGCTCCTGGTGAGGACATGCACCCCCAAAACAAGGAGCCACGTGCACACGCAATTTGATAATTGCGGAGGCCGTATGTAGGGTAGACGTGGCCTCAAAAATAGCCAATCTTGCAGGTTTGCCCCAGTAGCTATATTCATTCTTCCTGATGCCTTTGTCATGATTATGTGCGTACTCTTTCGGAGCCCCTCTGAAAAATGATTCGGAAATTTGGGAAGCCAGTAACATGATGCTTCCAGAGGCTGAGGACAGTTTCTGTACGACACGTCTTTACCCTTGTGGAAGCATGACTACTAGCAAAGAATGGCTACAAAACTGCTTTGTTAAATGAAGATTTCAAACATTCGTTAAAAATCCAGACCAACTCTCTTATCCCCAGGAGCTGTTTTCACGTGTTCCCTCTCAAAGGCTGGGTTACTCTGAGGGCGGGGTTGAGAGGGTATGCGTGGGAGTGTGGTTTTTAATTCCTTTTTTCTATTTTGCTAAATGTGCCATGGAATAGGGTAGCCGGCCCATTAACTGGGCTCAGCGCTCCTGTTCTGGGCCATGTGCTCCCAGTTGGGCCAATTAAGAGGGCGGGACAGCACCAGCGGGCTATAAAAGGTCAGACAGGAGTCATACAGGACCAGAGCAGGAGATGAGCAAGGTGGTTCCTGAGAGAAGGCTGAAGGCAAGGAGAGTATCAAGAGCGGTTTGTTGGCTGTCATCCCCAAATCAGACAGCCAGGGCTGAACAGAAGAGTGGGGTTGCACTCTGGAAGATAGGGCTGGGTTGGCTGTCCTGGCTGAAGTGATTCATAGATTCTAAGACTGGAAGGGACCTCGAGAGGTCATCGAGTCCAGTCCCCTGCCCGCATGGCAGGACCAAATACTGTCTAGACCATCCCGGATAGACATGTATCTAACCTACTCTTAAATATCTCCAGAGACGGAGATTCCACAACCTCCCTAGGCAGTTTATTCCAATATTTAACCACCCTGACAGGAACTTTTTCCTAATGTCCAACCTAAACCTCCCTTGATGCAATTTAAGCCCATTGCTTCTTGTTCTATCCTTAGAGGCTAAGATGAACAAGTTTTCTCCCATTTCCTTATGACACCCTTTTAGATACCTGAAAACTGCTATCATGTCCCCTCTCAGTCTTCTCTTTTCCAAACTAAACAAACCCAATTCTTTCAGCCTTCCTTCATAGGTCATGTTCTCTAGACCTTTAATCATTCTGG